CCGTCTGCTATCACATGCATTATAACCGTCTAATATGTCTGTGATGTTGTGCAGCATTTTATACGTTGTGTACACATACGAGTATCAATGATAGTATTCCTCACTAATAAGCTTTATTAATTAAATATGAAATGAGTGACGTCGGAAGACGCATCTTTCGGCACTGTTCCCTGAACCAAGAGCAAACAGCAGCATTAAACAGGAGAAAAGAAAGTGCCTACCGTTTTGAGATTTTTAATATCAATATGTTTATTGTAAACACTAATAAATGCAATTTAAACATAAGCGTAAAGTGGTCAGCTCTCCGACTGCCTCTTCGACATATCAACAATCAATTTTGGCAGGGCGTTGAAGTCAAGGTCATCTCTATTGTCCATGTTTTATTTTATAATATGAAATTTGTGTTTATGACATGTTAGATAGTCTGATAGATCAACGCATCAACGTGCAGCCATGTACTATTTAAGACAACAAAACATGAAATGCGATTTTTTGGGCGCGCGGGATCGCGGTAAAATTACAAGATTGCTTCAACAGCAGTCCGATGTCTATAATGACCTCATATTTATATTATTATACATATTACATATTTATTTATTTATTTACCTCATAGACGAATGGCAACAGAGCTGGGATGAATCATCCAAGGGGCGCCATCTTTACCAATTCTTTCCATCTGTATTATGAATTATTAGCTTTATTCATTTAAATTAGTCGAGTCACCATTGTGTCAATGCTCAACACCTAACTCTCACTATGAACAGTCTGCTCATCATATCCTCTGGGAATGTAGTCTTTGGTATAATGAACGTTATATAATGCTGAATAGCTTGCAGGTGACATCTGGGGCGGTATACCATGGGGATCTTGTGTCAACCAGGGTGAATTTCCGTGCGATTAGGCGATTCTGCCGTACATATTATAGAAATCAAATATAGCTTACGTAGGACCCGTAATATTTTGTGGCCGTGGTGCTTCCCTGTTTAAAAGGGTGTATGCCCATTTTACTTCATTTTGTCTCCCGCTTTGCTAAGGAGAGAAGTGGATTTACTGTATTTCCAACTCCTCCAATTTTCTTCTGATTAATTTCGTTGCGGGTTCCAAGACAGTTTAATTTCTTCCTGGGACTTCCCGAGTGTCATAACTTGGTGTGTTCGTGGGTCACTGCTGTGGATCCTGGTGTACAGGAGTTACAGTGGTGGGCGTGTGGGTGGGATTAGTCTCAATAAAAAAAAAAGATCAACGCATAGTCAAACGATATTTGGAGGATGTATTTCTTATGATGATGAAGCAAAGAAAGAAATTTCTAAAATTCCCCTCTAAAAGTGAGTGCAGTTAGTACTTTCAAAGCAGTACAATCTATGAGAATTAGGTTGAAAATAAAAGTGAAGTCGTCAATCACAAAAAAAAACGGAAATTGATATAAATTGAAAGGAGAAAGAAACCTGTATACAAAATATTTTTATTACAAATTTCGACCTCTCTGTCGTTTTAAAACATACTTTAAACAAATAAATAAAATTAAAGTATCTATCTGTAATATCAAAATAACGAGTGTAAACATTTTTGCCCGTCTGTTTCTTCCGGCTAATCTTTAAAACGGAACACCTGTTTTTGTTACAGTAGTTGATGTTAGGAGGAATAATCAAGGCTGATCTTACTATGATTATGATTTTACTATGATCAAACTAAATAGTTTGTCTAACGAGACAAACTATTTAGTTTAAATTACCACCAAAACAGAAGTATGAAAAATGAACTGAAGTAGTACTATTCCCTGTTGGCAAAATGGCTGACCCAATAGTGCCTGGAATATTACTAAGAGCTACTTCAAAAAAATATACAGAATATCCCGTAAAAAAAAAAGTTTTTGTGATAGGTGATAGGTGACGAATAATGCATGTTTTGGTACCAATCTCTCTCTATATTCTATCTCTATTTGTTGACATAAAATTGAAATGTCTTTCAGTTTTTGAACAATGTGAAAATATGGAGCTAACTAAGTAAAATAAGTAGAAAAGTCTTTTTTTTTTTAATAATATGTATTAATTAAGAATGCAATCCCTTACTTTTGTTGTGAAATATTTACCTATATAAAATCTCACTTAGATGCCTTTAGGTGCTTCTATTGTCATGTTAAGTTTGAATCGAACGAAAAACTAACTTAATGTACATACGTACAGGTTACTTTTAATCAAATAAGTTTAAACATACATTTAATTCTAACTTTATTATTTAATGCAACTACCGACCAAGGAATTCATAATGAGAGTGTTATTGTGAAGTTATTAATAAATAACTTCACAATAACACTAATAATCCATTTGAGCTAGTCACATCATCATCACATCAACAGCCTATAATAGTCCACTGCTGGTCATAGGCCTCTCCTTAGAAAGGAGGTTTTGGCCTACTATACCACCCTGGCCAGACGGGTTGGTATAAGGTTTGAGTCAAGTTTTCCTTCTCTTTGCAGTGCTGTTGTCCTATGTAGTTTTAATCGGCTCTTACGACACCCACGGGATGAATAGGGGTGGTGACACTCCGTATTCTTAATCCGTCACCACACGGAAACTAGTAATTTTCGTATAATCAGGCATATATTAATCATTCTAACAGTAAGTGGCGAAGTAACGGTAGTCGGAGGTGCATGATATAAAGTTGTAAAACCGTTTTTTTTGTGTTGTAAGTGCAATACCTACTTACCCATGATAGCACATTGGAGACATCAATTCCAGAGTACGTACATTGTCCGAATGTTAATTAACGACAAAAATGCATCCTCCGTTACATTTTGTAGGGTATCGGTAAGTGCTTTTTTTTAAACTATCTTTAAAATAAAAAGATAACGTCTTTCTATTTACTGGTATAATTTTAATATCTAGGCGCATTATAACTGTATGTAACCTATACTATACCTACTACACTATATTACACTAAAGTTTATTGTATATTATACAATAAACCTTAGTATATTATATTAAACGTTAAATCGTTATATATATAACTCGATATAACGAAAATGCGTCACGATAAAGAAACAAACACAATGTATAGGATTAAGCCGGCGAGAGAATGAGATAGAATACATTACACATTATTTTTAATTATAATATTTAGCCAGTGTCAATATTTTTATCTTTTTATTTAATACCTGCTGGTACCCGCGACTTCATTCTAGTGGAATTTGAAAAACGCTGTCTAAGTGGGTTCGATTCCCGGGCCAGGCAAAGTTTTATAGGGTTTTTCTGAGATAAAAATATATTTTTTTCTGAAGTTTCACTTCTGCCGTGTGTGAATTGCACACACACTTTTATTTCCATTTGGATTCATCAAATCTTACGAAAGAAGCATTTAATCATTAGGAAAATAGTTTTAACCTCTAAAATCCTGTTATTATTGTGTTCTGCTAGAGAAACGATGTGGAATATCTTTGATGTATGTAATTTTATGTTTGTGTAAACGCACGATTTGTAAGTACACGAACATACATGTTTACAATACACACAAACAAGTAGTGTGAGTGAATGCGACTAGCATTTATTTATTTGTACATTGGAAATAATATACCTATTATTTATTTATTTTAAACTTAATGCACATATTGTACAAAGGGGGACTTAATGCCATTAGGCATTCTCTCCTTGTCAACCTTCAGGTGATGTAGAAATATGATGCGGTAGGTGCAAAATAAAATTTGAAATTTAACATAATTTAGGTCCAGAAACATACACAATATAAAAACACACATGCATAGATAAACCTACATAAATTTAATAAAATATATAAATACTCAGTCGGGTACTAGCGCTTACATATACTTAGGTAGGCTTAGGTATTACATATACCAAACATTTACATACCGGCTTTGTTGTAACGGTAACATATAATTGACTCACGCAATGGTTACAACAGACCACTTTCATCTTCAGTTCTCATGTATATTATTTAAGACCTTATTGGTAGGAAAATGCTTCGTCAACCCTAACGACCAATTTATACTTCAACACATGTAATCAAAGCTCCTTTTTTGGATGGCTGGCTCCTTACTCTTTTAAAACTTCACTAGCCGTGAAACCGTATTTTTATCGCAGTTGAAAATCACAATTCTCAAACTATAAACATCGAATAGTATTTGATACCAGTTGCGATCTTATGCAATCTGCGACACCGGCATCACTGCTTCTTCTTTTTAAGAAAAAAATTGTTCTCACCTACCCTGTATTGAAACTGAATAAAGATATACCGTGATGTTTTTAAACATTATTACAGCATGACTAAGAAGTATTTCAAAAAAGTATCTACTTAAATTTAGAATTACTGCCGAAGCTGTATGCATTTCTCTTGTGTCTCTTTTGATTCTCCAGGTTACCAAATTGAAACTGGCAAATATAAATTTTGGGTATTCCTTGCAACCAAACCAGGATGTCACATACTCGTATATAATTCACTGAGGTGACAAACATGCACGATCCGATTGGTATTATTTAGATTCAGCGAATGGACCCATCTACCCAACAATGCGTTGCCAAATTGATACGTACCTAGGTAACTTTTCTATTTTTGAAGTGTAACTGAAACCTCATTTTTATAATATAATTTGCAAATTTTGCTTTTATTAACTATTCTTTGAATTTAAAATGTCCGCCTTTTTTTCTTCTCTTCAGTTCAATCAAAAGCAGTTATATTACCTTACTAAGGTCGCCTTATTTAATCTGGTAGTTATAAACGATATTTCTTAACCTTGCTTCGGACCAATCTTTTTTTACAGACATTTAAAAATCATTAAGAGTTAAGACCTTGTTGTGCAATCGGTCTTGCAATTACTCATAAATGCACATATTCACACAATGAAATATGAATGTGCATTGTGTCATTGATGCATTTAATCATAAAACTTGCCTGTGAACCCGTGGTACTAATGTACTGCATATCTACTATAATAATAATAAGTATTAAGTATACTTGAAAACAGAGACAACACTTGTATAAGTACTTACCGATATATGGTGTAAAACGCCATGTATTCCCTAATAATGGCAAAGGCTTGGGTCCTGGTACCTCGCGCCATGACTTGACGGAAGGAGACACGTCGCATAATGAAGTATCCAAGGCCACGTGGGTAGATCTGGCACGAGAGCCTCGCGCTGGACTAGTTGTCACTGACTTGGTACCTAAAATTACTAAATGCTTTAAGACACTCATAATTTTTCTCAGTAAACCTTTACTGACAAACGAATTATCTATTTTCAGGTACATTAAATCAGTACTCAGTATGAATAATGGACATTATCTTGAAACATTTTTAAAGCACACAATAGACAACAGTATCAGTAGGTTAGTAATGTTTTGTCGACTTATTGTAGCTTGATCGTAGACAGTACATTATCCGGTCAGTCCCCGCTTAGACGTCTGATATACTAACCAGAATCGAAATCTTCAAAATGATTTGTTTACAAATGAACCGATGCCATTAAGTTGTTGGTTGAACGTAGAAACAACGACATTAATGCGGCTTCCACCTTATCATCCAAGATGTATTGTTAAGTCCTGGTATGAAGCAGCCATTGTTTGAGACAATGTTTGTCTTTGAATCACATATGCAATTTTATATTACACAATTTAAAATTGCTACTATACTTCACGCTCCTTAACCGCAATTACTTGCGTCATCTGTCTAGGAATAAGAAAGAGAAAAAGTTTGAAAACTTCACTTTTACTTTTCAAAAAGTTGTCATCAGGACCCCTGATACAGGAATACGATACGTAGGTATACTCTTGGGAAACAGTGACATTAAACAGATATTTGTCATCATCATCATCATCATCATCATCAACAGCCTTTAACAGTTCACTGCTGGACATAGGCCTCTCCTTAGAAAGGAGGTTTGGCCTACTATACCACGCTGGCCAGACGGGTTGGTATAGGGTTTGTGTCAAGTTTTCCTTCTCTTGATATTTGTACATCACACGAATACACCGGGGTTGTATAAAACCCAAACTTGCTAACCCAGAAAAAAGTGAATGACTCGAAAGAAAACCCAGGACAGATGATTGAATGCTGAGCACGATCATTTGTTCTATGCATGAGTGTAAATAGTTCATGATGTGTGTATTTAGAAATATTTGAGTATGTATTTTAGCAATCTGGCTACCTGTTGTAGAGGCATTGCCCTATTTGGGATCTGATAGCTGGGTCGGAGACGTGTCACATATTATTATTAATGACAGTGGTCAACGCAGTGGAGTTCTTGCTCCTAGAAAAGGCACCTAAACCTTGTTTGCCCAATTTATAGGGGCTTACAATTCTTGTGTAATCCACGTTTCGTGACATGGGCACTGAGTTCCAATATTAGCATTGCGCCAATAGACATTTATTGTGTGTATACTGTGCGTTAATAACCTTTTTTCAAAGTGAAGCAGCTTTGTATTTATTAAAAATTAGCATATTTAGTCAAATGTGTATTTAAGGGAAGCCTGGCGCATTGAACCGATCTGCTGAGTCAGTGTCAGGCGCCATAATCTGTTATCATATACAAACACCATAGTATTTGTTCTTCATTACTACAGTTAGGAGTTTGACCACATACCAATTTCCAATCCACCGTCAGACGCTTGATGAGACCATGGCGTAGTAGAGAGCTGGCGCACAGGGCTCCGAAACGGCCATTTCACTACATTCACGCGACTTTTCATTCTTAGTTACGTTAAAAGCTGAAAAAAATGTATTATTTTTTAGACTTGATCTTTAGATATGATCCCATATCCATCCTAAATATATATAAATAAATAAATAATATTGTATACACTGAAACCTTTTTCAGTTTCCTACTTATCCTCCGCCCTATCGCCCCTTCCCTAATTGTCGTCCTGTAAGCCAAGATCTTTCATAATAATAATGAAAAAAAACTAATTAATATCAAGATATTAACTGGGTGTTTAAGACTCGCGATTTGCATAAGCAAAATATAGCTTGCTGCTTTTTTGTACCGCCCGCGTACGTTTCTCCCTAAATAGACGACGACGCAGGTAACATGCGCCATGTTACGTCTGAGTCGAGCTAATGCATTAATTTTTTTTTAAAAACTTTCGTTATTTTTGTTTTTGGCATTAATTTAGTGACTGCGATCGCGTAAACATAGGTTCTTATTGGAACGAAGTTCCTTATCGCGCGTTACTCGCTCTCAGCGGATGGTGGCTAGTTTGCCTGAAAAATGTGTAACAAGACTTTTTCCCGACACTTTTTGCTATAAAACGCACGCACTTGCGTAGATCTTGTAAACTAAGCCACGGATTTTTGCGGTTTTCACCAATAGAGAGAGAGTGCTTTAAGAGAAAGGTTTATATTTATGTATAATAAATGCATATTATAGTAGAGAAAATCCGAGAATTTCGAAGATTTATGATAAAAAAAACATGTTTTTGTGCGCTTAAATTGCAAACACTGACTAAACCTTACGAGATATACCAAAATAATGTGCTATGGAATTATATATCTTAAAAGATCTACAAAAAAGTTCGCAATAGTATATGCCTATTTTATATATTTATTTATTAAATTTCACAAAAAAAAATGGCTTATTTACGAAGCTATTTTAAAGAATACATTATTATTCCTTATCCAATTAAATTATATGTTTTGCATTTAATGTAGATTAAAATTGCTCTTTACAGCATATTATTAAAATGAATATTTTAGAAGATATTTAGAGGTTTGAAATGCAAAGTCGCCGCGTTCGCCGTCGGGTCATAGGTCCGTCCTGGGCATCAATGGCTGGCTGGAAGGGAGCGGTATAATTACTATCAATCCGCCCCGGCTTCGCACGGGTGCAATGTAGATGCTACTCAAACTACTAATATGGTGTCAGTGCGGAGTAATTAATTATACTATTATTATGATAGGACTATACCACAGGACATCTTTATATGCAATATTTATGGCCCGCTCCGATCCTGCTTGCCGCTGCCACCCGGGACGATAAAAGATAACAATGGTTACTGTGTGTTATCCTTAGCAGATAGCCATATACCATCGCGGAGTTTTTTAACCGACTTCAAAAAAGAAGGAGGCTCTGTATTCCACTGTATGTTTTTTTTATGTATGTTCACCGATTACTCCGTCAATTGCACACCGATTTCCAAAATATATTTTTTCTTAAAAAGAACATAGTACTGAGGTAGTCTCATAGTCAGTCAGGATCTCATGAGGGGGTCCCAGGGAAATCGAGGGCAACCCTCAAATTTTATAGGCACGTACTGTGTGTTTCATATATTTTCTAAAACTATTCTAGTATTTGCGTCTGGTAGTCATTATCTCGTGTTGATAAGCTAGTGATGGAAGGTACAACTTCTAAACGGTTAGGAGTTGGAAGATAGTTCTTTAAATACTACATATACGTTTGGACTTTTAGTTGTATTCTTTAAAGTGAGTCATTCATGTGAGCTGATGATGGAAGGTAAAACTCCTTAACGGTTAGGAGTTAGATGATACTTTAAGATGCCGACATAGTAACCTGTAATGTACAGGAAAGTAAATACAACAAGTAAACACAAAGCTGAGGGTTAGCAACCTGCACTACATACCTAGGGTGTCTTGGTGTTCTAATTTGAATGTTTACAATTAGTCTTAGTCGTTGCTTTTTCTGGCTTTGTGTGTCTCTAAGTCTCAAAGAGCAACACCATCATTATACCATCTTTACGCGACTTAGCGCACCATAAACATTGTCTTTGGGAATTCTAGGGAAGTGCCCTGGAGTTTATGCACCGTAACCGCCCAACTGAGGATTAGCAGTAGCACTCTCCGTACAGCATTCCCCCAGTTTTAAGTGGCCTGATAGGTTTATCAGGCAACTAAAAGCTACGGGGATGTTTTTTTTGTCAACATTTACTTAAATACCATTTGAAGGTGATCGTCTTCCGTAGGTTGCTACCTCTCGCGACTTATATGAAGTAGTTCAACGTACCTCGTACCTATGATTTTTACACTAAAAACGGAAAAATAATCAATTTTATAGAAAAAAAATTAAACCGATTAAAAAAAAATCATCAAACAAAAACTCTATACCTTTCTAACTATAACTCACCTATTCTCAATAAAATTCTTAATGAAAATATTATATAGTATGTAAGATATAATATCACAAAGCGAAAGGAACTTCGTTCCGACCGGCGGTCCATAGACACCTCAGGCCGTTTTTTTAATATGAATATCTGCATTAAATTATGTAGGCAGGTTACAAAAAGAAAACATATGAAACAATCATATTACTGCCACAGAAAGTTACCTATTACAGAAAATAAATAGAAAATAAGTATTTTTTTTATAATTATTACGGCTGGTGGTTTTAAGAAGCGATATCTAGTTAATCATAGGTACCTCATCTTAACTTCTAATCATTACCATTTCCTCAGCACAAGCCGCGAAATCATTATTATGCAAATAAAAGAACTAAAATACTAGTTAATAGTCTCTCTAAAACAAAACTATCATTACGTTGTTCTAACAAAACTTAAGTGTGCATTTATAATTATACCTACGCGTTTTATCTTTAATTTAGAAACTTTTACTTTTCATGAAAGCGGTGATTTGCTTGCTTGTTTAACTTGGTAAACTTCACTGTATTTATTGGATCCTAAACTTCTGTGATACCTAGATCATGGAAGACAAAAAAATGTTTAAATTGTTTATATTAAATGATTTCTTTTTCTAGATAAGACCCTACGGGGGCCAACCTTAGAAGAGTCTGAGAAAATGTGAAATTCAATGATATTGTGTAGTTTTTGCAGATTTTTTTTAACAAATTCGGACATTGCAAAACATCCAACAGTTCTTTATTTTATCAAATATTAGCTGTATTGGTCAAGTTTGTAGTTGAATTTAGTAGTTTCAAAATAGAATGCATTATAGCAATACTTGTTTGTTTTGTTGTTGTTTTGTTTTTTCTCGTACCAAAATGAACAAAACATTTCATAAATTACGATAATCATTATCGGAGACTTGTTCAAGTTTGTGTAACATACAGCTTAATTGACTTAAATACTTTTACTTTACTTAAGGTTGAAGACCGTCTGGTCATTGAAAATTTAAATATCTACAATTGTTACCAATTTTTATTTGAAAACAGGTTATCAAGGTTCATTGTAACATTTTGACTGCCTCGGTGGTGCAGTGGTTGCGTATGCGACTGCTAAACTGAGGTCTCGGGTTGGATTCCCGGGTCAGACCAAATATTTGTATAATCTGCAAATATTTGTTTCAGAGTTTGAGTGTTTTCTATATATAATATGTATGTATTTACAAAAAAAAAAGTATATAAGTATTGTATCAGTCAATCTAACTTTCATAGTACAAGCTCTGCTTAGTTTGAAACTAGGTGGCGTTGTGTGTCCGAAATATTATATTATTATTGTAAAACTACTTTATCCTGATCGGTTGTGATAGTATAGGTTCAGATGCATATGTAGTATTCCCATTAAGGTGTCAATCGCTCAATACAGTTCCAGTCATATGTGGTCTGGAAAAGTTTGTACTTTTTTGTTTTGCTTTATGAATTATAATAATAATAATAATAATAATAATTTATTGACATTTAAGTTGGTACACATATGATTGAGAATCCCCTGGCTCCTGCGCTAGTTTAAACTGTGTTGCAGGAGACAGTGTTTTCCGCACGTAATATAAAGAACTCTATGTCATAGTTAAATAAGCAATACAATAAAAAAAAAAAAGACTAACAAAACAAAAAGAAACTCAAAAAAAAATAAAAACTTAAACATAAAAATCATCATATTAACTTTAATTACCCAGTTTGTGTGTGTATGTGTGTGTGTGTGTTGAGTTTGTGTGTGTATGTGTGCGTGTGTCTGTGTTTGTGTGTGTGTGCGTGTGTCTGGGGGTGCGTGTGTGCGAGCGGGTGCGTGTGTGAGCGTGCATGTGTGTATGTGCGTGCATTTGAATTTTTGTGTGTATGTGAATGCCTTGCTTGTTACGTATATTTATTCGTGACTATGTCTTCAGTGCTGTCATAATTTAATGAATTTAACCACGTAAGGATGGCCTTTTTTACTGCATGGTTATTTAGTTTACTAATTTTACCGATTTTGTTATATTTGTTATATATATGTGGAGCTAAGAATTTGTATTGTTTTTGTGCAAAACTAGTTTTATTATTATTACTTAATTCTACTTTCTACCTTTCTTGAAAGTTTTACGTGTCAGAAATTAATCACTGTTGTCTACAAATGTTAAAAGATAATATAATCATGGCAAAATATAAACTAAAGAACTTGCAATCATTTTTATTTGCGACCAGCTTTCTTAATGGCTCTTATTAGACATTATCGAAGGGCATTGTCATTTTTGTACCTATTCAAATAAAACCAAAAGTGATTTTTATTACCTCTGACGACCATCATTAACCGACTTCAAAAACACAAAAGAGGAGGTTCTCCTTTGTGTCCGTTTTATGTATGTTGGTAGTCCCACGCAACACAGTTATCTTAAAAAATACAAAAATCCCTCCAAATTATTTTCTGACAATGAGATCCCAGAGAAATCGAGGCAAACCCTAAAATTTTATAGCGCCGACAACGTTTCTTAGCTTTTTTCTCTAGTATTTGCATTTGGTAGTCGTTATCTCATGGTGCTGAGCTGAAGATGGAAGGGTTCTTGACCTTTAGGAGTAAGAGAATAACTC